CAGATTAATTGTGCTCTTAAAAATGATATTCCGTTTGATACATTTTGAAATAAAAAAATTTAAGACATTTATTTGTAGTCTATACTCTATATCATGGTTGTAATGTTTGGTTTTACATAAGATCACACCATGTGGTATTGAAGTATATCATGACGGTATGAACATATCATAGTGTATAATGGTTGCATACATGATAGTAGGAATATACTCACTGTATTTAGTATTTACTACATTTCATTATTGTTTACCACTGAATGGGATCATATTTGAAGTGTGAGATTTAAAATATTATATATTTTTTATCGGCTTACATCTTCTTTGTTTACCTCAGAATTTTTTTCACTTATGTTACGGGTCCATAATAATCTACGTGTATGGTCGACATTTTTTTCCACTCCAATAAGTGATCATCATTACTAGAGAATAGAGATCGAAGCAGATTTGAGTCCCGGCTGTCATCTCATCCATGCTTTCCCGGTATCGATCTGCTCCCAACAGCCGGCCCTGAAAAATTAACCAAAGCAAACCCCACGACACTGTAAGCAAATTAAATGAATCCTTGTGGCTTGTGCTGTCTGAGAATTAGAAGATTGTATGTATAGAAAGAATGACAGAGAGGGAAACTACGTACTGACCACGTGGAAGAAGTGTTCGACGGGCAAAGGCAGGTTGAGCTGCCATTACGAGTATGATGACCAGGCTTATCAGCACCACACGGAGAAGAAGAATCTTCTTCATACTGTACTTCATAATATATTCTTGATGGAGCATATTGATCTATTCTTCCTGTTCCTGGCTTTATATATATATATAGCAAGTACTGAATTGATTTTATTGCAGTAGCTGTGATTACGAAGCTGCGTGCGATCGAGATGATCAGCCGCCATTGACCACGACTTTGAAGGGTCGTAGATCGTAATTGGCAGTTGTTCACTAGCTAGTTGCTCCATCCAGATGAAGACGCCTTTGGACTATTATATAATTGCGTTTTGTAGGGTATGGGACTTTGACGGCAACAGCCTACCTACCGGCCCTGACATGGCCGGGGCCGTCCCATGATATTTAGAGGCCCTATTCGAAAATTTAAAACGTGGCCCTAATTTTTTTTCTCATAAATTTATCAAAATTAAAAATTAGTAAATAATTGTAAAAAAATACTTAAGTTCATAAAAAGATTACACCAGGAATAAACGATCTCGTTTCCAGTTTGACCAAGAAACCAAGACCGAATTCCCAGCCCTAGTAGGGAGGAAAGTAAATCTGGAAGGAAGAGAAAATGGATATAGTGCAAAAATTGAATGGAGAAATGAAAATAGTCTAGATTGATCGAGAGGTGGGTGCAGGGTTGTCTAATAGATCGTAGAGGCCCTATTTCAAAATCTAGACGTGGTCCAAATCGACCTTTAACTATTATAAAACTAAAATGATTATAATAACATTATTCAAAATGTAACTCTTTCTATATTGTTTAAATTAAAATTATCTATTATTTTTCAGATTTTCGTATTCTCCATGAGATCCTTTTCGATTGTTATTATAGCTAAAATTATCTATTAAACACATCATCATACTCATAATCAATCAATCATACACTAAAAATACAACCTACAATATACGATCGGTAACTAACGAATCTAAATAGAGGCCCCTAATATTCTGAGGCCCTGTGCCGGAGGGCGGGCCAGCACACCCTCTTGGTCGGCTCTAGGCATGGCCTCTTCCCTTATTTTACAATTGTTGACCAAATGGCATCTGAAATGACTCACTTATTGTATTTTTATTTTTACAAGGTGAATCTGCTTATATTGAACTCTGAAAATAACGGTTACAAGAGGTTGATTACACTAAGAGAAACGGAACTCTAATGACCGGAAGCACAATCCCAACCGAAAGAGAGCCACAAGGACGATTGAACAAACCAGCAAAAGAGACCATCACAGGAGCCAAAACAGAGTGATGACATCAAACATCTCTTGCTTCCACTACCAACAAAGCAGCAACAAAAGTATGGTTTCAACTCTCCCGAAATAGACAAGACCATGGCGATTGAATGAGCAACGCCATAAGCTGCCACCTGGGGATCATTCGAAGATGATCCATCATGGTGAATCACAAGACTGAGATTGCTCGCGGTGGCGGGCAGGGCCGAAATTAAGCGAGATGACTCACTTATTGTAGAGGATGGAAATGGTTTTTGTAGTAACTGGGAATTTGGCTGCAAGTGGACGCCGGACGGTAGTGTTCCAAGCTTTCATTTTTTTTTTCTTTCCCCTTCTTCTTTTTTTCTTTTTGGCATGGGCATGGCGCATAAATTTGATGAGATATTCTGACTTTTCTTTGCTACAAACCTAACTACTAAACTAGGAAAGTGGGACTTTGACTGGACAGTCAAAACGACACCCCCGCTTACTAATTCCAACTTCAGTAAGGCGCGTTTGGTGCCATCAAGAGTTTTGGCGGGGAAACTTCCAATGACATCACTAGCTAATTTCCTTCCATTCCATGCAAGCATGTGCAGTTTGTGTTTTACTGATCAATTTGGTCAGGATTGGTGCGTAATTGAATTTATTCTTCATCTTCAACATGTGGAAGTCCAGGAGAGAAGATGTCGGCGACCTCCAGTGAAGTGCTTAAATAAATAAATAAAAATACTCAAGACGTACAGTGGTGTGAGGAATTTAATGATAATGATGACATAAACCAGTTCGTCCCAATAATTCGAGTTGTTGGGAGAAGGTTAAGCTGGATTTTATACCACTCTCTAACACGCCCCTTCAAACGAAAGCCAACTCACGGGCTTGAAGTTTGCACATGCCTACCATACCATGTGCTTGAAAGACAACGGTTAATATTGGGGGTCGTGGAGATTCGAACACATGACCTTTCGGTTCTAGGCTCTGATACCATGACATAAACCAGTTGGTCCCAATAACTCGAGTTGTTGGGAGAAGGTTATGTTGGATCTTATACCACTCTCTAACAAATTATACATGTAATAGTTAGGAATTCTTCCCAGGATATGATTTGAGTCGACATCGAGGTGCAAAATGACTCCGTCGATAGGAAATTCTGAGTTGATTGGCAAGTGATTGCCGTACCACGTGCTTAAATCAATAGTTAATATAGAAATTGATGTTGTTAAGGTGTGATTGATCCAAATAACTGAAATTAATTAATATTGGAAAAAGGTACAAGAACGCATCATAGCTACCATTGCTAGCTTAACACACTGGAGAGAAATGAAACACTATAAATGATTTATTGACTATATAGGTCTGGACCAATTTTTTCCAATTACTGATCACTAGCTACTAGCCTACTACACTCATATGGTGCAAATTACAAGAATCTTTAATGATCATGCTAGTTGCAATTCTGGTGATAAAAGGGAACAAATTAAATACATTTTGTACTGTCAATAAAAACAAAAACAGGTAGACACCGCATTTCCACTTTCAGCTCATTCATGCTTTCCTCTTGCCGATTTGCTGCGGACAGCCATCCCTGGAAAATTGATCAAATTAAACCACACCATTACTCTTAATTAGCATGCTAATAAGGGCTGTAAAGTACAAGTTAGTTTGATATTGTTGGATAACCTAAAACATGATGTCAGTGGTGGGATTTGAATTTGAACGAGATTACAAAGAGACAGATCTCATCATATATCGTAGCACAAATTTATTAATGCATGAACGTAGTATTGACTGGATCACTTTCATAATGTGACTCTTTTTCATGAAAAAAGTTTGTGGGAATGAACGGTTTCAGTACGTACTATTACAATAACTAAAGAGAGATGATCGATCGAGGTAACTTACCACGTTCTTCTTCGTCGGGGGACATCAAATCACGTTGGAATAGTGGTCGGCTAGCCAATGCAGGTTGAGGAGCACCCATGAAAAGTAGTATCGCAATCAGGCTAACTATGAGGAGGAGAATCTTGTTGAACATTTTATTCATCACGAATACAGATATGAATCTGATTGGTCTCTCTCTGAAATTTGAATCGATCTCACTCGGCTTAAATACGGACTGAAATGGTCGATCGGCAATGACTAGGAAGGAGCGAGCTTTGATTTGGCGCATTGACGAAGACATTTGGGTTACGCGCGTAGTTGGACTTAGCTAGCGGTTTCGTTCGTTAGAATAAAAAAAAAAAAAAAAAACTATTTCTTTTCAAAACCGGCTAGCAGCAGCCCCCCTAATCCGTTGGCTGGCGACGTTCCCAGTTACCACGAAAAGAGAAAAAATGTTATGGAGAATTATATTATTTTTCGTTGTTCCGCGTGGCATCATATTATCCATGCTTGTTCTGCAACGTACGTAGCTACGTTGCATGGCAAAAATAATTCGTTGTTTCGCATAATCATTTGATTTTTTTATTGTGGGATTTGATCTTGTAAATATATATATCTGTCTGTGTCATGTGTTAGTGTTGTGGTATATGATCCACGATTGAACTTCTTCCAACAACTCGAGTTATTGGGACCAATTGGTTCATGACATGGTATCAGAGCCTTCTGTGACCGAAAGGTCTTGTGTTCGATTCCCGGTGACCCCCATTTGTTGAGCACATGGTATTCTTGTCTTCAGACCTGTGCAAACTTCAAGCCCTTGTGAGTGGCTTTCGTTTGAGGGGGCGTGTTAGTGTTGTGGTAGTTTCAAAACGGACAATATCTTGATCAGAAAAGATCAAATGTTATTGTAACTAGCAATTTGTTAATTTAATTATCTTTTGAAGAAGAAAAAAAAAACAGATATATCTTGTTGTTCCTATGTTCGAATATTTATGAATAGCAAAAATCATTCATCACTTTTTTCAAATCCAACACGCCAAATAAATAAATAAATATTCATATAAATATAGGAAAAATACAATTGATAGATAAGGGAAAAAATCAAAAATGGAAAACCATATCCTACATTAACACAAATAAAATGGCTGGGATGTGTTTCCAAGTTTGTTCACTCCAACAACTATCCAACTGAGTATGGAAAATCATATCCCACATTGATTGTTAGATATCAAATTACTCAATTTTGGCGGACTCACACTGTCACACTATACTCAACTATAAAAAGATATATATATATATAGTATAGGTGTGCACGTTTGGAGGACAAAATCCGATAAATATACGGGAAAAAAAAAAGAGGAGGAGGAGGAGATAATGGCGCTAACAAAGATTGCATTGATATTGTCGGTGCTAGTGATTTTGGGATCGATGAACCAAATGGCTTTGGCGGATCCATTTGATTGCGTCGAAAAATGCACAGAAGAGTGCAAACTACCAACTCCCCAGGAGTGTCTGGCCTACTGCACCAAGAAATGTCTTCATCAGGATGAACGACAACAACAGAATCAAAAGATTCATGTAACTAATGCCAATTTTTAAGTTGGTTTGATTGTATACCTTTTGGAAAAAAGTCTCTCGTTTTAGAGGAGACAATAAAATTTGTTTTGCCATCTTATTTTTTGTTAGAAGAATATTAGAAATTTTGTTATACTTCCGTACGCGTACCGAATATGAAATATACAAATGATGATCAAGAGGAAACTCAATCGATGCATGTAATGGATGATTTCATTGTCAAATATCATATCCCGGTAGAGTGCACACTAGCATTTGCATTAAGCATCTGTAATTGCATCATCAATATAAGTTCTGAATATTTTAATTTATAGTTTCTTTAGTGTATGAGTTGTGGTTTATGTATGTTGTGTTGAGTTTGTAACATGATTGTCGTTTGTCTTTCGTGCTGCTATGAAAGAATTCTTTGCACACATTTCTGTTAGCTAAGCTTTATGGTTATTTAGGGAAAAAAGATTAACAAATTATTTTGACGCGATTCATATTACGTTGATGATATGATTATTATTGAAACCCTTGAAGAGCTTCCTAAATAAGTTCATTGCTTAAATAAATGAGTTAAAATGAACTATTTAAGATTTTTCTATGGACGAGGAATGTACAGTTGAAAAAGTGTAAAAGTAATTTTGCAAGAACAAATTACATTCATCAAATAATATAAGGATCCTAAGATCACTAGAAGTGAACAAAGGTCCATTTAGACATCGAGTAATAAGTAAATTATTATATTTTGAAGTACCATATGTTCATGCCATTGGAGCATTAATGTTTCCCTCATTAAAGGGCATTGGAACGTAGTTGGTTGGTTGATCAGAGAGAGATTTGGTTAACTATTCATATCAAAGATATTTGTTTGATCCTTATATTGGTTGGTTGGAGATGAGATATCTCTATACTTATGGTGATACAACTATATTGTGGAGATCCAAAAAGAAAGTATAGCGGACAAGTTCTAAATATGTTTGCAATTCACCACATCTAAGGGACTTGTGATTGGGACTATGTTCTAGGGCTGTCATTTCGGTTGTCGGTTAGCGGCTAACCGACCGGTCTAACCATTAACTGCCGGTTAGCGGCTAACCGGAAACCGAAAAATACGCAGTGGTCGGAGTTGGTTATTGGTGCAGCGGTAAGCCGATAAACCGACGTCGGTTAACCGGCTAATCGTCACTAACCGACCGACCTTATACCACGTCGCTTTGCCATCCCATTTTACACCCCAACCCTAGCGCCATCGTGTTCCTTCAATCCTCCCTCACAATCGCCCAGCCGCCCCACTCCGTCTCCCACACAGCACAGCAGCGACGACGACTCCCCTGCGTGGCTGGCTGCGCCCCGCCGCCTCCACCCTCCCATCTCGGCCAACCCGTCGGAGACGAACTCCTCCTCCTACTCCCTCCCCTGAGCTCCTCCCTTACCGTCTCCCCGCAACTCCGTTCTCTCCAATCGCCTGTTTCGCCTCCCTCTAATCGCGCTGCCCCTCCACCCGTTGCGCCGTCTGGCGACTCTCGTTGCTGCTTTGGGACAAGGGATCTTTTGGTTGAGGGGGAGCTTCTTCCACCTCCATCCCCCAAACTTGCAATAACATCAGTCAACAACCCTCCTTCCATCACCGCCACCACGTTTATTCCCCCCAACTTTCTTGTATCACGAGGCCTTCCTACAGCCTGCTCGGCTTCCCGGTTAAATCGCGCCGAAACCGAAAACTGGTTGGTCGGTCTGTGGCTAACCGAGGCTGAACGACGGTCGGGTGGCGGCAGCGGTTTGTCGTGCCTTAGTTTAACCTATAACCGAGATTTCATTTTTCGGTTAAACCAAAACTAACCGACTACCAGCCCTACTATGTTCACTGGAAATTATCATGAAAATCATGTATGAAGATATTTATCCAAACGATTATGCATCAAATTGAAAATCTACAAGATTTGTTCACAGAGTCACTCCTGATGACAATCTTTGTAAAGTTTATAGGTGAATTGGAGTTCAATGACTCAAAATTCTAAACTGATGTTGTTATGATGGGGGCATATACGCACTACTCTCTTTTTCCTTTGATCATGGTGTTCCCCACTAGGGTTTCCTGGTTAGATTTTGCATGAGGCAGTTTGAGATAGCATAATGAGATCAGTATGTACTCTTTTTCATTCAGTAGGATTTATATCCCATCGGATTTTCCTTATTAAGGTTTTGACGAGACGTTCCCTCATTAAACGGTCATCCAAGGGGGAGTGTTACAGAAATATTGATTTTGGGGACGACCCGATTGTGAGTGCACAATTGGGTGTTAAATGTAAACCCTCGCCTACAATTTGAATATGTGTTTAATTGCTCATTATTCCTTATTGTATACATTGATGATAGAGTTGGATATTGTAAGGATTTTATGCCTATAAATAAAGAACAAATTGTACAAACAATACATATGAATAAGATAGCTCTCTTCTCCGTCACTTTCCTTGTGTCTTTTCCTCTCTACCTTTCCTTGCAATTGTTTATGCCTCCACTATTTTTTTCAAATACAAGTCTTCCTATAAAAAATTATCACTATACAAAACTTACACTCAAAATTCTCAAAGTACAAAATTGTGGCACGGTAAAATTGTGGCACGGTTCGCTAGAGGTGTCCAACAATCTACCACCAACATAAGTTAAATTGTCATATCTTTGTGCTTGATTATCCAATTGTAGCTAAAAAAATTTGATTCCGCATATTAATGTTTCGAGATCTTTGGAGCATAAAACAACCATCATCTACCTTCGTCGCCGAAAACACTTTTTGCTTCTCCAAATGGGACATTTTATGATTTCACCAAATTTCGGATGTCCGTAACTCTGTGCTTTGTAATCCCATCATCGCATATATTTTGAAAATGCTTAATTCTATAATTTAATTAACTCATCAGATATAAGTATCCGACAAAATGGATAAATCCTCTGTTACATTATTTTATCACTTCATTTGCATGCTTAATTACTAGGGGACCGATTACTATAACAACACTCTTTTTGTTGTTAGGCTGACAACACTAGTCTCCAACCAATAAGAAGCTAGGGTTGTGATGAATTTTTATTAGCTGAGTGTACCTAGTGTAAAATCAAAGCTGGAGTATAATTATCATTATGAAAAATATGTTCAAATAATAATTAAAAAATAAAAATTTATTTTCTGCCAAAATTTTGTCGCCGATAACTGGAATATGCTTTTTGTCGCCAGAATATGCTATTTTGTCGTCAAAATATGCCCATCATGGCCGGAATATGCTCACCGTGGTCGGAATATGCCTATCGGTGTCGGAATCTGCTCACTGACGGTCATCGGAGTTTGGTCAACGGTCAACGACCACCGGATGTTATGGTATGCATTGTGAGATTTATGGTTTGGTTTCTGTTGTTTTTGGTATGCCTTTTGTGGTTTGTTTTATCGTATTTCTGGTTTGCATTAAGAAGTTTCTGGTGTGCTTTTGAAAATTTTGTGGTTTGTTTTGCGGGATTTCTGGTTTGTTTTAATATATTTGTAGTTTGCCTTAGGAAGTTTCTAGTTCGGTTTTTTGTGGTTTGCTTTACCGTGTTTGTGGTTTGTATTAGGAGGTTTCTGGTGTGCTTTCGCAAAATATTTGGTTTGCTTTGTGAGGTTTGTGGTTTGTTTTAGAGGATTTGTGGTATGCATAAGAAGGTTTTTGATAAGTTCTTTTATAGTTTGGTTTACCATATTTGTGGACTGCATTACAAGATTTCTGAAGTAATATGAGATACTTGTGTTCTACATACTAATAAATTCCAAATACACAGTATAAACACAATAACTCGTAGGAAAAAACGAAAAACACTAGAATACATAAAATGGTTTCTTAATCCCCCAACCCCACTTGGCCACACCCACATTACTGAACCTCGACCTCGTTAATCCCTCCAAGAAAACCAAAGTAAACTTTTCCTGTAAATTCCGTAAGCTGGGTCGAGCGGCGGATCCAGAATATATTAGAGCACTGGGCCGTATTTAAAGGCGGAGAGAAAGTGTAATGGGTGGGTCCTGAAAACCCACCGTGTCTTAGGAGAAAAATTGTCAAATTACTGAGCATATATACGTGGAGCAACGTTAATATAGTTCTTACATATTGTTCTTCTCCATGTGCACAGAGTACGATGAGGTTCGACTTTTTCTAATTAGTTTTTCGGCGACCGTCATTTTGTAGGATTGGACAAGTTTTTTGGATGTTGTTGAGTTCGATATTTATTGTATTTAGTGAAAAAATCCTCGCTAAATGGTGTATATATACAAATTTTGTGTTTTGAATTTTTTTAAGTTGGTGACAAGTAGTAGTCATATTGACAGCAAATAACATGCATCTTTTTTACTACTCATTATACCCTCTCCCTCTTCCATACCCTAACATAGTTATCTCGGTAGATTGATGATCTTTCCACTAAATTTCATAAATCAAGATATATAATTTCTTCAATTATGAGAGGTTTGGTATTTATACACTATAGAAATTTAAAATCTTTAAACCTGAAATTAATGAGATAAAAAAACATAAGAAAAACCTAACTACTACTAACCTAACTAGACCACTAACATACGTATTACTTGGCCCATGCAAGCAACCCCTGACCACATACTAACAAATAGTATACTTGGCCCAATCCAATTCATCCGATAACCGTCCACCACCAGTCAATCAAACCTTCTATTTCTCATCGACTGTAAAACCAACTGATATCGAATCAGCGACGAAACGATGGGCAGATCCGCCGCCACTGACGAAATAATCCCCAGCTACAACGACGATGTCCTCCGCCGGTCAGACTTGCGCATCCTTAGCGGCCCCCGCTTCTTGACCGATAGAATCATCGAATTCTACTTCAGTTACCTCTCCTCCTCCTCCTCTGCTGCAGCACTTGTGTTTACTGTTTAGTTGTTGCTGCTAGCTTTATCTTAATAAATAGTTTAATGGCTCTGATGGCGGCATCCTGATAGTAGTGGCAAGGATTCTGCCATTTCGCGTCGCCGGCGTCGGGTCTAGCAGCGTGGCGGAGTCAGATAGTGGAACAACTGGGAATCGGGCGGTGGAGCTAGGAGAGAGGCTCTATCCATCGCTCTTTCTCTAATTCCGTATAGTTTGATGGGGTTATGAAGAGGAAGGGGAGGAGAAGCTGATGGCGGCGGAGGAGATCGAGGTCTGGTAGGGGAATAGATCTGCAATTGCAACTCCTCGGAAGAAGCGTCGCCTATGCTGGCGCCGGAGGGAAGAAAACGATTGGTTGCAGAATATGATTGAGATATGAAGAATTGGAGAATGGAGGAGAAAGAGAAACACACTTTTTATTGCTTTTTTAATTCTAATTTTATTAGTTTTCTTTGTAAGTTTACCCTTATATCCTTGTTGTCACAGTAATAACATAAAGAGTGTTGTTATTCTATCCGGCCCCGATGCAAGCTTCTTTATGATAATCTCATTTATGAAACGGTGAACATAAAATTACTATCGATCGACTCCAACAAGACTGCAGCCAGATCGTGAATCTAACTACTACAATTTATTAGCAAAAGTAAACGAAAGCATCACAGCACTGAACCCAAATTTATAACTAGCTAGCTAGCTAGCTCAATGCTCTCATCCATGCCGCCCTTGTTCCGATTTGCTCCCAATTGTCAGCGCTGGAAAATTGCGTCATTAGTGAAAAAAGCTCACCATAATCAATCGTATATATTAAGAAGGTATAGTGGGGAGATTTATAGGATGGAATGGAACTTACAACGGCCCGGTGTTACAGGGCGAAAAGATGGCTGAGGGCCCAGAAGAAGTAGCATAATCACCAGGCTGAGCAGGAGCAGACGGAGCAGAGCAATCTTGTTCATCACAGCTGCGGCAGTAATAGTCATGAGATCAATTAAACAATAATTAATAACCATGTAGATAGTATACTTAGTAGATAATCTCGCTGACCCCCATGGCTTAAATACTCGTCTCTTCATCAACTGTTTGCAGTAGCTAGCTACCAAGGTGCGAGCCAGCGCAGGCGTTAACTTAGTTAGGTCGTGGTTCGTTAGAGAAAAATCCACTACTCATCATTATCATAAGACGCACGCTTTTAAGATTACATGGTAAAATAATGCAATCGTGGGATTTTCATTTGACGGGACAGCACCATCTACTTGGGCGTCTATGTTTTGTGGAAACTTTTGTTTTGGCGGTGAAGTGGATGATAAAAGTATTAAGAATAGTTTAGACCGGGCATGTGATTGTTGTTTTACATTGTAACTAGATATATATATATATACTAGTAAGGAAAAGCCCGCGCTACGCGGCGGGCAAAACAGGTTGTGGAGATATTAGTTTGCTTCAAAAGACAGACAAAATGAACCTTTTGATCGCTACCCAAGTGAACCACATGTACCTCGCGTCAGGAGGCTTGTAACATAACGTTTAATTGGTATCCATTTCCAAGTTGAACACGTATTATACACTTTACAAATATCAATTATATCCATATAACCCTAAAAGTATAATTACTTCTCATTCTAACTTTTGAATTTTGAATGGACACATAAACATAGTGCATTGGAAATAAATTCTAGATACATTAAGAACGTACTTCACACATATTAACATTTTTGACACAACAATAATGCAATCAGGAAAAAAAACATGTGAAAGGCCATATTAAATAGGTAGTTAGGTAGCATCAAATCATAAACTCAACAGAAAAAATCATTGCACACACCATGCAAAATTGCCATTACTTGCACTATCTTCCATTCCATCGCCTCCTCTTCCCAGCAGTGATAGATACAGCTTCCCCCTAATACAATCACTTGAGTCGAATCAGGAAATCATTTAGTTAAATGTTTGTAACTCACAACTATCAGGAAATCATTAAGTGATTAATCATTCGGCAATCATTGAACACATTCAAAAGGACAAAAGTCCATGGAGATTGATCCTAATCATGGCTCTTGATAAAAAAAAACACCAAGTCAGTTAAGAGTTGTACCTGGAGTTGGTGTTGGTTTTGGAGTAACTTGGATTGCTTAGTATAATTTAGGATGTGTAGTAACTTGTAATCCTAATCTCTTATTCATTGGATTACCCTGTACAATTGGTTACGGACTTGAGACCAGAGATGAATCGAACTGAAGTTTAGTTTGCGCTAATATTGTTTCTTTATTTAAAAGTAACTAAGTTTGGGTTTTTCAGGGATGCAATTTGAAGGCGACGCCAAAGTGATTATTGATAAGCTCAATCGGGGGGATGCAAATGATAGCCAGATGGGAGTGATTCTGCAAGAAGTTATAAATCTCTTAGCTTTCCATTCTAGGTTTTGTGTACGGTTTGTAGGTCGGAGTAACAATAGAGTAGCCCATTTGGTGGCAAGAAAAGCCCTCTCTTTGTACCCGGCTACGTGCCGTTTCTATGATTTTAAGGCCTGGCTGTCTTCCAAGATGTAACTATTTTTCTTCAATCTAATGGATTATCTTTTGTCAAAAAAAAAAAAAAAATTTAAAACTAAGCTTCTAAAACGGCGGAAAATGAAGTTTGATTTATAAGTTGATACCATAAAGGAGACCATGAAGTGAACCTCAACCATCCAAGTAGCACTAATTGAATTATGTACTTATAGCCAACTTCTCGACCATGGTCATTTAGGCTCCCCACAAAATCACCAACATCTCATTTGGTTTCGAAATTGAAGATTTCAGAAAAGCTACCAAAGCCTTTTCCTTTCACATGCTAGAGATAAATAATTCATTTCTCATGGAAAGTCTTACCAACCATGAACTCGTTAAAGATGACAAACAAAGGCTTTCCCACCACCAGCCATGATCCCCGAAATAACTTTCCCACTCATCACATGATTTATAAGCTAGTAAAAGATAGAAAATAAATCACAATTGAATCCATATAGATTTGTCCCAGAATAAAGAAGGCCACACGAACAGGAGAATCAATAGAGTATCATTTATCATTTCCACTCATGGGCATGCAATATTCTATCAAAAACCATGTGAATCATTGTTCTATCTAGTAACAAAATGGATTAGAATCATGATAATTGTCTTCTGAACCAACAAAATCCAATCTTTTCTTAAGACAATTATAATAGCAAAAAAAAGTGTTGGCCTATTTGCATGAACCAACGTCAATTGAGGAACAAAGCATGCTAGCAAAGCAAATGGAAAGTTTTAAATATGATTACATTGCCATATAAATAGTAACAAAACAATAAAGCCAGCAGTTGCTGTGACAACCGAATACTTCATTTCATATCCACCGGTCTATATGCCTGGTTGCATCCTGCAAGTGACCATAGAGATGACGCAGAACAAAAGCAAAAAGCAACCTCCTCTACTTGTTTCAATTGTAATCAAGTCCACAAAGACCTAAAGGTCAAGCAAAGAGCTGCAGAACCCAAACAATTTAAACGGAAGGGTGAGATGGAGGCAGCTTAGAGAGTAATGGTATTGGTTTCTTTTAACCCAAACCATAAAAGTACCAAATTTAGGAATTCAATTTCATTTCAAGCATAACAACTTAGCTGGATTACAAATTGAGCAAAACCAAAACAAAGACAAACTATTGAATTTGACAATGATAGTGTGAAAAGCAATAGAAATGGAGTTTAGAGATTATTTTGACCAGATAGTGGCCAAGAAACGCATAGTTCCAACATGGCTCATAAATCTGAAGGTTTCATTTGATGTAATTACTTAATGCATTTCCAGATAATGAATTTTGACTAAAAGCAGCATTGGGTGAAAACTAACTCTAATCATAGGCCAAGCAAGAAGGCGTTGTGAAGATCCATAAATGGCATCTGACTCCCAAGGACAAAAGCCCCTTAATAATAATGATGGAACCCAGCCACTTCATAATGGAAAGTGTCGCCATCAACCAATTTTAGTTAGCAAATTACAAATACATAGCTCACTGCTCTAACTTGTTGCATGTATATCACAAAGCAAATAACAGTAGCAGCCTTCTAAAAATCAACCATCAGCTCAGTCTTCAAGAAGCATAGTTGGCCTTATATAAAATTTTGTACAAAAAGCTTATACTCACCTGGATGCACAATAACAAACTGATGATGAGCTGGGAAATTATCTTATTAGCAACATCAACTGGTACAAAAATGCATAGTTCCCACTTGCTGGTGATCAGAGTTCATCATCTTCTTTCTACTCCTGTAAAAAACAAAGATTAGTTTAGAAAATGAAAATCCCAAAGATTTCAGTATGTTATATTCGTTCACTTTGAATGCACTGAGTATTGATTGACATATATAGAACTTAGGGATACAACTTATAAATCACCCGAGACTGTTAAGAGACCTCTATTTTGAATATAGCAAAGAACAATGGTAGATAGAAAGATGAATGCAGCAATTGGAAGCACGATTTTAGCAGCAGAAGCCACTTGTTCTAACCTCCATCCATGTCAACCCATTAAGGTGAAAGTAGAAGCAACACAGGTCAAATCCATTATGATTACATAAGTTGAAACAGGAAAGGAAGAAAAGGTAAGCATCATCAGATACCTGCATGAGACAGTTCAGGACTCCCAATTACTTCCATTATCCAGCTATAATGCAATAAAACCTGCGAGTTCCATCTCCATGGTGTATGAAACTTCCACTCTAATCGCTTCTACCCCACTGTATTGATCCAAGTCGAAACCAGAACGAATGAATTCGCACATAAGTGAGTTATCCATCGCTCTACTTCCAAATCCATAGTTCCCAGCACCCTTGATGAGACATTGAACTGGCCGGCTACAAACAGAAATAACAAAGCAGATGGACGAACCATAAATCCCAAGGTAAACAAAATACAAAGCAAATAACCTATACTGTTGGCGGCCATTATAAGCAGAACGTACCTTCCTACCCCACATTATTGCATAACCAAAGAAAGTTGGAATGGACACCATGAATCAATGGGCTTGCTTCAAATCTGAATCGGCACCAAACAGGTCGATGTTGGCTCCTTCTTCCTTGTCATGCCTGCTAACAGTTTATGTAGGTTCTTTCTATCCTCCCCGACAACAAAAGCATATCAAATGGATAGGCAGCTGTATACTGCAACAACTCGAAGCAAAAAATCTAAGTAAAAACCCTAACCAAATTCCATATTTAAAGCCTCGCGAAAGAATGAAATAGATCAAGCAAAACAAAAAAGCAAGACTGACCTGATCCATTTTGTGCCCATCGATCTGTCAGGCCTCAGAGGGGATGAGGCAGAGATAGAGATTGATCGTCAATTCTGCCCATCAGACATCAATGCAGAGTTGACAAAATTCCTTTCGTTCAGCATGCAAGAACACCTTTTCAGTAATATTTTCTTATGAGTAACCAACCTCGAGTTGTTCCATTACCTTTAAAATACGCAATAACCATGAAATAAGGATTAATATCG